TAAAACAATGCCCAGAGATTTCATCTTTTTTAAACATGATAGGCACAAAATTTCCACTGAGTTTGACACCGAATGGAGAGGTTATTACTCTATCACGGTTGCCATTTGGTTTAATTTATTTATTTGCGCTGTTTGTACACGCTGCGTTTTCCGTTAATGTTTATTCTCTCGTAAAATAAGTGATTTTGGAAGTTAAAGTTATGTTTTTGGGAAGCTGTTTAAATNNGTTTAAATACAGTTCGAATTATTGTGTTTACGTTATCACTGGTCTGGAGACCTTATCAAAAACAAAAAAGACTGTCTGTGTTTTGCCTCAAATAACAAATTCATTTCATGACAATAATATGGGTTTATTTTATGCTTGTTCGTTTCATAATTTTGCTTAATGTCATTTGCACAACTTTGTTGCACATGAAGATAGTTGAAACAACTGTATTTCACTTGCCCTACAATTTAGCCTCATACGCAACCAAAGCGAAGGATCACTGGTTCACCGCTGTCCTGTATGTCACGCTGTCATGACACCGATATCCACTGTGAGTGAACCCCGACTGGGCTGTGTACACTCTACTCGTGTGACCGAACGCGTTATTCGATACGAGCCAGTGGACAGTCATTCCACACAACCCGGTCAGAGTTCGAACTCTGTTCCACCACGAAAGTTTCAAACTGACACAAAGCACCGTCACACACATTCAAGCGAATCCGTAGTACAGCCTCCTATCTTGCGCACACGGGTTGGCCGCCAATCGAATCAATCGAACGTAGGAGAGCGTCAAATTCCAATTTGTGTAGTTAGCCAAACCCCAACAACAAAAACAGTAACACGCATTACTCGTGAATACTCCATGCCAACATCTTCACAAAAACTGGATGTACCCGAAGTTGCTGAATCACAGTTCAGTGTGGTAGAAAGCTCAGATGGTGAAGGCGTACCTTGACAGGCAACAGACCCTCTGAATAGTCCACCAAACGCAATTTATTCCATCAAACAACCAGACCAGCTCTCATTTGATCTGCTTACGGACTTGAATTTGTATCCTTCGCAGAGGTCATTTCTCCTCCCTAAGACCACAAAGGACTCTTGTATATCTTGCTTACATCATCGTTTATATTTTATTATGCTTTTTATTGCTATAGCAGAAGAACAACTTTTCTTTTTGTATCCTTACAAATGAATGAGAAACAGCCCACGCCTTAGTCTGATGAGGTTAGTGCACCTGCTGCCTCTTGTCCTTAACCAAATAACACATGTTCTGCCCAGAATAGCCTGTCATTTGTAAATTGATTCCCTAAAGCCATCTAATGGAATTTCACTGTTTTCGTCGCTTCTCAACACATGGTTATATTTGATCAAGCCATTAGTGTATAGTTGAGATGTGATCCCTTGTCCGTCTTCTGATGTGGCAAGATGTTCACTGCACATCTGTCCATCAGAGTGCATTCGAAACAACCAGTGTCCTCCTAATTAGTTGACAAATGGACACCTGGTGTGTAGTTGGAGAAAACGTCCACAGGAATCATTTATTTGTCTATATACAAAGAGTGAGTCGCAATCGAGGGCTGTTACAAGTTCTGAATGTCGTCTTATTTTACAATCACTGACACACAAGCGTTTCAAAACTGTAGATACCTGGTTTCGTTCTTGGTGTGATATCTGTATAGCCTACTTTTCTTGAACCACGTAACCGCAAGTAAGAGGTCAATAGTTTTATTCCGGTTCATGCGCAGTATCAGCGCACCCAAAACGGGTTCTCATCGATAAGTGGCATCATGTATCCCTCCGGCATCACTTAAGTAATTCAGCTGTTAGGACTATCTGTTGCACCACTGGTTTGATCGCGCTCGAATAATCCCTCTCAGTGCAGCGAAGCGTCCAGATGGCACCGAGTGGAGACACCCGTGGGAAGTGCAAAGTGTTCCTACTGCTAGGGCAGAATTTCTTTTTCTCCATAGGACGCTAATCAGATTCACTGGTTTTGAAAAACATCAATGTAACCGACCCCTTATCAATAGTTATCTGTTTTAAATCAACTTTCATTACGGATACAAATGTGTGTTTCATGAATCAGGCGTTTTCTTCCAACAAATGAACAATGCTACTTACAACAGTTCAACATTGGGATACTGGTTTATATTTGATATTTGGTTTTACTCTTAAGATTGTTAGATCTTTGAAAAATTGAGTGTACTAAGGAGACACAGAAACAACAACAATAAAGTGCAAGTCCGTTTTAAGCAACTATTGTAAATTTGTAAAATGTATCACTGCGTGATAAAAGAAGAACAATGACTGAAAACACACGAGCGTTATCAGCGATAGAAATTCAGGAGGGTTAAAACTTTTGGATTCCTGAATGACAGAAGGCCGATTTCAAAATCAAGAAACACTTACAAACATGGGAACGGAATTGCGATCACTGAACTGGTCTCGCACTAGTAGTTACTCCCTCATGTGTCACGACAAACAAACAACAATCGAGAGTAACCTGCCAAATTTAAACAATACCAATTGCTTACGGATTGTTAATCAGTGGCAGGCCGATCAGCCAATCAAGAAAACATTGGTATTCATTTAACTTATGAGCGCTGTCATGCGAAATCCCCAAAAACTTCATTTTGCCCACAACATCTGTACTACATCAAATCTGTACTAATTCATAGTCGGCGGTATCTCAAAACTGATCATTGATAGAAAAAGTATGTTTTCCATATGCAATGTTTTATTTTACTGTTGTTTAGGTGCTCAGAAAAATACTGTTTGATTATGTTAAAATTCATATTACTGAGATCAATGCGATGATAAGTGAATGAAACGGACGGGTATATTATGTGCAATGTGATTACTTTTTGAAATTTTCCCTTCTTTCTGGTATCTGTCGTTAGTGTTTGTGGAATTTAAGTGATGGATAATTCTCTGCTAAACATATACAGGATGACTGACCCAGAGTGATAAACGGTTCACATGGGTCCTTCAGACAAGTCCATAGTGTGATTTACAAATGAGCGATTGCTCGTCACCACACACTCATTAGATTATCGAATTCCTAATTCGTTCCCGAATTAAACGCGCTTAAGCTTCTTCTCAAGTATATGAAATATGTCGGTTTCGGTGGTTTACTGTTTGTATTAGTTCAGTGGACGTACAGAATGTCAACATTGGTTGCTAATTAAACATTTCTCTGTGGATCAGTCAATAAATAGACTTATCCGAATGACGGTGGGGTCACCAAAAATTTACTGAACTGTGCAAGTGTCATATGGACTGATAAGAGCGAGACCATATTATTCTTCGAAAAAAGGGAAGGACGTAGATAAGGTCAATTTCTTGTAACAAAATCATGCCTCGAATGATTTGATTTCAAACTCTCCCACATAAACATCTTGCATTGGTGATGCTTCAGCACACAACATTGGATGCACGGTGGTGAGATCCCGTCTATATAATAACGAGCGCCACTGTTAGTTAGTCCGCCGAATATGCACATTCACGTCAGAGTGTACGCATTGTCTCGCTTTCCGAAACAGAATCAGAAAGATACTTCCGACTGCAGGCCTGTGTACCGAATATTGCCAATTTTCATTTAGTTCTGACTTTTTAACAACCTCATGGGTGCTAGAAATCTTCAAAACTCAAGATTTAGCAGTATAGAATCCAGTGGAATGTATTGCAAACAGCTGTGTTTAAATCCATGCCAAGGAAAGGTCAAAAAGCATCTGGATCGAATAAACTAAAACCATCTTTCTCCGTATGGCCAGGCCATTTGTGCTGCAGGCAAAACACAAGTTGAAAACACAATTGGTGTGAATTCCGTTTTCACCAAAGACTCGTAGATTTCTTTTTAACTTGTGCGATGTGGGGTAGCTGATGGTACTAGTCGTTTTGGTGGCTCATGAATATTAGTCATGACTAAAAAATGGATACGATAATGTAGTCGAAAAGCAAATCGGTTAAGTTAATTGTATTAGAAAAAAGGGCTTGCTTTATTTGTACGGCTAATTGAAAACCGACCAGACGATATGTATTTTCTTTATTCAAATAAAATGTTTTAAAGCTGAGATATCAATTCAATTTTAAGAGCGCTGTTAGGGAACTGTGGGTAATCTTGCTCTTTTTAAATTGAATTAAATTTAAATTTTCTGTGTTTCAATCAGAACAAAGTTAAAGCAAAGGTGTTGATGCCTATTTCCCGGGGTAACCCAATTGAGTTTGGGCTCATTAGAATGGCTCGTGATTTGAGTTCCCCCAATGACCTCACCGTTGACCTTTTAACAAGAACTCGAGGAAGATATTTTAAGGGAGATCAGTTGAAAGACCATTGCAGAGATCAGATTATTCTGTATGCACAAGCAACTGGTGATATTTCATCACTGATGTGAAGTATCTTTTGAAATAAGTTATCAAAAAGTGTAGACACAATGCACAATTTGAATTGAGACTACCGGAGAACTGTAAAATATATTAACTATAATGTTTGAACCGAAGAACGGTACCCATCGAAAAAGGGGTGAGAATAAAATATATGCTATACAGTGCTGCCAGGAGATTTTTCATAATATGATGTTCATTTTTCCTTAATAATTTGTTTAGATAAAAATCATAGATCTCCAAACTAAAGAGGTTTCCTGTTTCGACATAGTCTGAAGTGTTTCAGGCTGTTTTCTGCTCTATTCTTATGTTCAGCCACAAAAATGCTTTTATTTATTCAACAACTGATCACTGATCACATTCGGCTCTGCGTTATTCAGATTCAATATTCATCTATTTGACTTTTTTGCACCAGGATACGGAAGACACCATTTGATACATAGCATTCATAACAGTACAGCGTAGAAGTAAATCAGTATGACTTTTATTCCTACTGAAACTGAAATTCTTGAAATTTACATCAAGGTAAATTGCATAACTCTTTGTATTGTCCATACAGATGACGGGAAACAGCAAGCGAGAGTGAAAAGTTAATCTGGAGTGTACTTTCATACCGGAGACTGGACACATCCGTGATTCGATCACCAAAATGGAAGTATTTCAAGGCACTACACTGTTTCTCTAAGTGATGGTGATGATGCATGACTAAGCATGTCAAATGCTAGACACCAATTCCGCTGATGCATAGTGTAAAACATAAATTTGCGTGAGACAGAATAGTGCAACTGAACTTATTACCCGGGGGTGAAATACTTACGATCACCAAAAACTATCGATGCCTCTTTGGTCGCATCGTTATGTACTGAGAGCATTGAGGAAGAGTTGAAAAAAACTTAAGATTCAGCTCTTTTATCGCTTTTATAAAGAGGAGTAATATTTAGCGAGTATACAAAAATAACAGTAATTTAAAAGTTAAATTTCGATCAGAAACAAAGTTCGTGAATTCAAAAGACTCATTTACGACCACTTCAGACATGTTTTCAATATCGAGATGAGAGGATACATGTTAGACAGAACAGTATTGAGGTGTTTGCAAAGAAGGTAGGCAAGTGGACACAATTATGTGATAACGAAAGCCTACGTGAATGATGAA